AATACAATATTTGTAGATTAATATTATCATGTATTTCATGAAACTTCAGTTAATTAGGTAAAACAATAAGCATAGTTGATAATTAAAAAAAAAGAGATGTAAGACGTCAGTTTCGAACCCGAGACTCTCGGACGTTAACTCAGCAGCAAACACGTATGCCATCGAGTCATTGTGGTATATTATTTAGCAAACTTATATTTCTGTAGTTACCCACGTTCGAGAGTTTTTAAAAGTTTTATTTGCTTGCTCTATTATTTCCAGAGCTTCATATGGATATTAAGGATATTGACTACCTTATTACAACGGTTTATGTAATACCTTGTAAAAAAAAAGGTAGATACAAGTCTCCCTATTTGAGTGTTCACCCGGTTTAAAATCGTGGATCTCGAGGAACACACAATTCATTCGACCAATCAAAATCGTGGAACTAGTTCGAGAGTCTCGTTCAGGTGGCGCGTCGACGCGCCAAAACACAGCTCCAGATTATCACGCGTAGTATTACTATATATACACGACCAATCAGAAACGTGGAACTGCTTCGAGGGCCCTCCGCTAAGGTGGCGCGCCGAAACCAAAGAAAAATTGCCATCACCAAAAACAGGCTCATTGGCAATCTCCCTACTCATCTCTGGTTAGGAGTACGAAAGTGTAACTAACGCTACGCTTATCCGTGGCGCTAGTGTTTCTTGTTGCTGCGCGTTTCTAAAGGCTAGTTTCCAATGTTACATCCTTTTGGGTTGATCTCCACATAGCTTGGGATTTTCGGGGCGCCATCTACCCGCCGGGATTGGAACTAAAATTTTACTATAGTATATGCTTGACATATCCCCACCACGTCCTCCGCACCACTATACCTATCTACACTCAACGGTCTTACCGTGCCGTGTCTCCAATAAGTGGTCTGTGGATAGTGCTAGGTATTTGTTAGCCGAATCTAAATTGGAAAAAGGAGGTATGACCACGAATGCGCGCGGACGTATTTACAACTACGGCTTGAACTAATTGTCGGGTTCGCTTCGCTTTAGCGATCTCCTGCAAATATAAGTGCTCGGGAATTCTTGTGGGATTACACAGGATTTGTCATTTCTCTTTTCTTTCCTTTATTTAACTTTAACACTAAATATAACGAGTCTGCGGAACTATAACCTAGTCTTCCAGGCTGGCCGCCATTCTGGCGGTCAACCCACGCTGTCGCTTGCTTGCTGCCACTTACCGCATGTACTGCTTTTTTTTGTCGCTCGTGCTTTTTGTTTTCCTTTCTCTTCTTACTGTTTCTTCCTACAACACACCACACCCGCCTATTAATCTCGCCTCAAATTACTCACCATGTGCACCCCTGCCGCGTGCGGCAGCGGTACACCGCCCTGTCAACCAGATCACACCTGCCTATTAATCTCGCCTCAAATTACTCACCATGTGCACCCCTGCCGCGTGCGGCAGCGGTACACCGCCCTGTCAACCAGATCCGTCCTCTGTTGATATGGAGCTAGAGCCTGGCCCTCCTACGCCGGTTGACGTTGGTAGTGACCTCGCTCAGGCACTATCTTCGCTCAGAAAGGAAGCTTTCCCTTTGGCAGCCTCAACTCCTGTCACTTCTGCATCCTGTCCCTCCGACTTTACTCCAGTAACTCGTGGTGGCAGAACTGCTTCCCTTAAAAGAGGCAGTGATGCAATTTCAGACGATAAAGGTAATGACTCCTCTCAGCGACCTAAAACCAAAGCGACAATAGTAGTAGTCTCAGAAAACACCACTCGTTCCAACACTCAATCTTCTACAAGCCTCTCAGAAAACTCACTCGCCCAGGTTTTGAAGAATAGATACAGCAAAGAACACCGAGGCCCATTCATCTTAACTGTTCAACCTCATGCTGCCAACCATGGTGATAAACCAGGTATCAATTTGCATCCTCTCACAGTAGGGCGTAACATTCACAGCTTGGTTGGTTCCAGTCTGCTGGAAACTACTAGAATAGGGAAAAACCGATTCAGAATTAAGGTTAGTACTGCTGAGGCAGCGAATAACTTGATCACAAACCCTAAACTCAAGACATTCAATCTGATAGCTTTCATACCTTCAAATCAAATAATGAAGCAAGGTGTCATTCGCAATATTCCCACTGACCTCACACCAGAGGACATAACTTCAGGTTCCTCAGCTTCTGCAAAAATTATATCAGCAAAACGCTTCAATAGGAGAATCACTACAGATAGTAAATCTAACCTCATCCCCACTAGAACCGTATTATTAACCTTCGAAGGGCAATCCTTACCTTCCCACGTATTTCTTTTCAGTGTCCGCTATGAGGTCCATGCTTTTGTTCCTTCCTTAAGATTATGTCATAACTGCCATCGATTCGGCCATACCAAATACCATAACAAACTCGGTAACAGCAGCTTGCCCCACCGCTATTCCAAAAACTTCACCAAACCGCTCGATGAAAGAAGGCCCTTCCCCTTGGTGGAACGCTAGCTACGATGCGGCAGTCCGTGCAAGGAAGCAAGCTCTCCAGCAACTTCGTCGCTCCTTTAACCATGCAAACTTCGTGGCCTACAAAAAAGCAGATTCATCCGCCAAACGTACCTTTAGCGCAGCAAAAAAACAATCATGGAAGTCTTTCTACGAATCTATATCTCCTACCTCTTCTATCTCCCTTATTTGGAACCAAGTCAAGAGATTTCGACACAGGCAACTCAACCCAACTCCCTCTTGTTCGTCTGATACCGAGGTCTTAAATAAACTGCATGATTTAACAAAGTCTTTCTGCCCAAGTTCAGCACTACATAAATGTTTCCCAGCTTCGCATCTTTTTAAGAAATCTTCCTTCCTCGAATCTCCATTCACTGAAAAAGAGCTAGACTCTGCAATTGAAAAGCTCAAACGTAGATCATCGCCGGGCCTAGACAGAATCAACAATAACATTATTTACAGGCTACCTGTCAATGTTCGTCGTGCCCTTCTGTCAGTTTTCAATGATTTTCTCAAAGACTCCGTACTACCAGAGAGCTGGAGCCAGTTTCTCGTTTTTTTCATTCCAAAATCAACTCCCGGTAAATTCCGGCCCATAGCCCTTGCTTCATGTATGTTGAAACTTTTTGAACGTCTCATCCTCGCTAGGCTCTCATGGTGGGCTGAACACCATTCACTTATCCCATCCTCGCAGTTCGGTTTTCGCAAGGCCAGATCTACTACGGATAATCTGGCACTATTGTCATCTGAAGTGTACAACGGTTTCGCTGAGGGCGAATATACGGTTGCAGTGTTCCTCGATATTTTAGGCGCTTTCGACGAGGTCATTCCCTCCATCTTAATTAGTAAATTATGTTCTATAGGTATACCCGAACCCATTTGTCGTATTATTTATAATATTATCTCAGAAAGGAACGTCTTCTTCAAGATCAATGGTAACCTGACTGGCTCCAGGTCTGCTCACAAAGGCTTGCCACAAGGACTTACCCTTAGTCCCATCCTCTTTTCTTTATATATCAGGGAACTCAATAACTACCTTCATCCGAATTGTATTTCCACGCAATATGCTGACGATGCTCTTATCCTCTCGAGATCCAAAAACTTAGCCGACTGTTTCAATGCAGTTCAATCTAGTGGTACTTCCATCTGCCAATACTTGGAAAGTTTAGGATTATCCGTCTCTCCATCTAAAACAAAATTAGTTATCTTTTTTAAAAGAAGACGAGACTTCAACGACTGTCATATCAGGATAGGCTCTGACCGGATATATGCTTCCAATGAGGCCACGTATCTAGATTTGATCTTTGATAGGAAATTAACTTGGAACTCTCACCTTAGAAAACCCATTAAGAGATGCAATAGATCACTTAACATCTTCAAAGCCCTTAGGTCCACATGGTGGGGTGCGCACCCCTCAACCCTTCTCCTCCTATACAAATCACTAATCAGAAGCATCTTAGAGTATGGCTGTCAGGCTCTCCTTCTCCTCGATGGTAATCTACTTACGAAACTTAATTGAGTTCAATACAGTGCTCTCCGTCTTAGCCTGGGACTTAGGATGTCCACTCCAATCCGTGCGCTTCTCGCTGAAACAAAAGAACCACCTCTACTTATCCGTTTCAACCTCTTAGCGAAGAAATATATCTTAAAATGTTTCTCGCACTCTGCCCATCCTGTTACTCATCTTCTCTCGAATCTATTGTACCTCCCCTACAATGGCAAAACTTACCAGATCAAACATCATTTCATCCTCTATAAAGCCTTTGTCTCTGTCCGTAATTACAGTAAAGTTATCTATAACTCCCCCCATCCTCTCCCTTACCACTTTGACTATGAACTACAACACTTCGCTCCAAGTATTAGTCTAATGGAAGGTCTCTCCATCCAAAGCTCAAAAAATCCGAGTAAAGAGTTCGATAAATGCTTCAGTCAAATCCTTCATTTGTCACACGTCTTCTATACTGATGGCTCGAAAAATCCGGATGGCCCTTTTACAGGTTTTAGCGTCTACTGCCCGTCTCTCAATATATGTTTTCAAGCCAAAATAGCTACTCAAGCCTCGATATTTTCGGCGGAAGCCCTTGCAATTTATCATGCAACAAATTTTATCCTAGACAAGAAAATAGCAACGTCAATTATTTTTTCAGACTCACAAAGTGTCTTGAAAGCCCTGCAGTCATTTAATCTGCACGAATCTCACTCGTATTTCATATACTTGATCAAACAAAATCTATGACAGGCCTCTTTAAACGATCAGTCTATCCGTCTTTTTTGGATTCCGGGTCACTCGAATCTTCAAGGAAACGACACGGCTGATCTTCTCGCCAAAAAAGCTATCACAAACGGTACATTCTTAAACCACAGTCTTCCATATACTGACCTACTACCCGTTGTATCAAACTGGGCATCAGAAGCCTGCTTAGCATTCTACTCGAATCATCAGGATCTAAAGGGACTTTTTTACTTTAATCACTGCTATTCTACAGCTAACACGCCTTGGTTCGCACACTCCAATTTAAGTCGCTCTGTTATAACCGTTTTCACCAGAATCAGAGTCAATCACCACTCCTTGACCTAAAGTCTCCATCGCAAAGGCATTGTGTGCTCCGATCGATGTCCATGTGGCAGGGGCTCCGAAACGGTTGACCATGTCCTGTGGCATTGTTGCCGTTTCTCACACCTCAGGCCTAAACTACTCCTTTCTATCCGCAAAGCCAAGCTCCCTGTTACGTACTCTATTGCTTCTTACCTAAGTCGCATGCACCCTAAATTTCTCGAATCAGTACACAACTTTCTCACCAATGCTAACATATCTATTTAAAACTACGTTCTACAAGCTCTAGATAAACAATTTAGTCTATTACTAACCTTGTTGTCTTCGTCGGCTCCACACTTACTGTCCATCCCAATAACATTATCTCCTTGCTCCGTTATCTATCTCCTTATTGGCTCCCTGCATGAATTACTTCCTCATTGGGGGATTTGTGAGCCCTCGGGCTCTGGCTGGCTGGATCTCCTCGGTGATTGGTCACCGAGGGGATCCTTTCTCTGTTTCAGATCGCCGTGGGATACTCGCGCTAAATACCCCATAGAAACGCTCCATTTTGTAATAATCTTGTGGCTGCTTGTAAAGGGCTAGGGTCCTAACTAGTGCCAACATACATAAAAGAAGAAGAAGAATAAAAGAAGAAGAAGAAGAAGAAATTGGAAAAAAAGTATTGGCTAGAAGTAGTCTGTGTCGCTGCATATTTAAAAACAGAACAATTGCAAACACGGTGGAAAGAAATAAATCTCCATATGAGATATCTTTTAATGAAAAACCAGATACAAAATATTTAATAATATACGGTAGTAAAGTTTTTGTTAGAGTGCCCGAGCAGAAGTTCTAAATGGGATAGAAAAGCTGATTTAGGAATTCTGATAGGTTATGATGTAGGTTACAGAGTTTTGATAGGCAATAGAGTTATGTGGCAAGACACGTTGATGTCATTGAAGAAGATGTAAAATGCATTGGCTTAAGTGATGAAGATTTAGAGAATGAGAATTTAAATGAATATTTTGAAAATAATGAAAATTTGAAAGGTAAAGGTAATGAAAATTCAGAAAATTTAAATGAAGATGATGAAAATAAAGTAGAAGTAGTACTTGAATTAATAAGGTCTGGAAGAACGATTAAAAAGCCTAGTAGATTTGATGATAACTTTGTATATAGTGGTTGTATATATGTAAATTATTGTAGTGCTGATACTCCTATAAGATATAAAGAGGCTATAGAGAGTGATGAATCTAGTTTTTGGATAGAAGCAATGAATAAAGAAATGAATAGTTTAAAGAAAAATAAATTTTGGGAATTAGTTGAGAAACCAACGAAAGGAAAGATGTTAGATTTAAAGTGGATTTATAATGAGAAAAGTGAAAATGTATATAAAGCTAGATTAGTGGTAAGAGGTTACCAACAAACAGATGTATTAGATGATATTCATTCTCCTGTTACAAAGACTCAAACTTTGAAAGTATTGTTATCGTATTGTTGTCAAAATGGATTGTTAGTTGAACTAATGGATGTCGAAACACTAAGAGATCGAAGTACATCGAAGTACATTATCATTTTGTGAATGAGAATTACGAAAAGGGTTTGATTAACATTGTTAAAGTAAGTTCCGAGAAAAATGTTGCGGATATATTAACAAAGGCTCTTGGGCGAGTAAGATTTGAAAATTTGATAAAGTTCTTGAACTTAATGAAAAAATTATTGTACTGTATGAAATATAAATGTAAGGAGGCGTATTAGGATATAAGGTACATTTATATTAAATGCGCAGCGCCATCACACGTAAAAAAAAGTAAGCGTTTTAAGATAGCTGGCGGGAGTATTACTAGTCAGACATCCTTTGTGCAAAGTAGTAGTAGTGTTACAGCGATCGGGAGCTTGATGGAGAGTTATTTAGAGTTGATTAAATAAAGTGGTTAAGGTTGTCTGTTTGTCTGTAACTTATGTGTAGTTTTATTTTCTTTAAGTCCAAACCCACGAGAATTAAGAAATTCAGAATCAGAAAAAGAAAGCGAGGCTAGTGACAGAATTGCTAAGATAAATAAGAACAGAAAAGGAATAACAGGCGAAGACAGAGGCAGCAGTGCAGGAAAACCTAAAACTACTAAGATAGAAATTATAAAAAATGAAACTAGTGTTACGTCCGAAACAGAATGGAGGCCTAGATTGGTGCCTTTACCGAACCGTAATGTACTGTGTATTTGCCCTGTTTTGAGTCAATGATTGCGCACTTTGCTCGGGATTGGGCTATGCCTCTAATTACCAGGGGAAGGATGAATCGAACTGGATATATAATAGAATTGATTTAAAAGATACTGAGACAAATGAAAACCATCACCAACTAAATAATTAAACTCAAGAAATTCTAACATCTACAATGATTCAACAGAATTAAAGAGTTCCTTCACCAAATATAATAACTTTATTGTGCTTACCTTGATTCTGATGATTATAATGTCGAGGATGTCAGCGGTGCAGGGGAGATTGGTTTTTCGATAATAGATATATGAGAGTGAAGTTCGATGAACAAAACGAACAAAATTTATTATAAAATAATGCACTAAGAAGCAAACTCTACAACGATGCTACTTTGTATACAAGCGGAAAACAATTGTAACTAGGACTAGGTAAGTCAACGGATTATATTAAAACTGAACTATGAAGTTAGCTGACGGATCTGCAGAGAGAATGAACTAAAAACTGATCGACTAAGTTGTCTGACTGATCGGCGGAGAATGAGTAAAAAAAACTAATCAACTAGGTTTACTGATGGACCGCCGGAGAATGAGAGTGAGTCTTGGAGAAATTTAGGGATGTTAGTTAGCGGGGGTGGATTGATGGAGTAGGGTTAGGGATTATTACTATTGGTTCAGCTAGAGAAATGTTTAAGAAAAAGAGCATATAGTGATTAAGGAAATTAACTCATTGGTGCTGGGAATTTTGACGGGGGAACTCTGCATAGGGGTGAAAGAAGTGCTGGGTCAGGAGTGGATAAGAATGACTTCTTTGTAAATGAATAAGGAGTTTTTAGTGGGATTTTCTATGAAAGATCATAAAGTAATAGAGTCAGGAATGTCCGCTTCCTACGCACATGTGTCACCTAAATAACCTTAATAACGGTCAAGACTATAGCCTAAATATATTCTATAAACATTTCCCTTTCAAAGGTTCACTTCATTGTCCATAGACCCGGAACCCATATACTAGATAGCCGCTTCTTAGGGTCGCTATGTAATAAAATCCAAATCCCACTGTTTAGTCTTCCGATGTTTAGTTATAGACCACGTACGTAGAATCTGATTTCGGTAGTATGGGAGTAGCATGGCAAAAATGTGTAAATTACGTTAAGCCACAGTTTTCTCATTGTGCACTTCACAGTGAGCTCAGATAAATGTCGGTATTGCTTTGTTACGTCTGCGTGGAAAATCAGATCCTACGTACGTGGTCTAGGACTAAGCATCGGAAGACTAA